GATATCCCCTAATAGGTGAATTGATAAACAAATTGGGGTACATCCATACACTGGAATATTATTTATCAATAAAAAGAAATGAATTATAAAGCCATGAAAAGGCATGAGTAAACCTTAAATGCATATTGCTCAGTGAAAAGGCGGTCTGAAAGGCTGTATGATTCCCACACATGACATTCTGAAAAAGGCAAAACGGTTGCAATAGTAAAATGATCAGTGGTTGCTGGCGTGGGTGGGGGAAGATGAAAATGTGGTGCACGCGGGTTTTTATCTTGGTGAAAGTGTTCTGTGTGATCCTGTAATGATGCGTGTGCGACACTGTACATTTGTCAGAACTACTAGAAGCTCCGCAAAGAGTGAACTTTAATGTATGCAAATAAAAAAAATCGTTTATGTGATCAGGGGATTCCAGGATAGAATGTGGACTGTGAGCAAAGAATCTAACTGTATTACAAATATCTGAAACAGCCTCCCTGAAGGAGGTAGGAAAAAAGGTGGTGACCTACATAACATTATAAATGAGGATGGGCTGGGCGCCTGGGTGGCTCAGTTTGTTAAGCATCTGCCTTCGGCTCGGGTCATGATCTCCAGGTCCTGGGATCCAGCCCTGCCTTGGGCTCCCTGCTCAGCGGGAGTCTGCTTCTCCCTCCGCCTCTGCTGCTTCATCTGCTCTTTCTCTCTCTTTCAAATAAATAAGTAATCTATAAGTGAGGGTGGGCTATAAAGCTAAAGATATGGGAAAGTGCACATAAGCACTGTGCAGTAGTTGATACAGTTGTTTACCATGGTGTAGGTAACACTTCTGGTAGCGCTGTATGCGGATACTGGATGTGAACAATTAAATAAAGGGGTGACAGATGTGAGTGCTAGGTTTCTCACTGTTCAAGTGGGAGGTGGGAGTTTACAGATAAAGAAGGGGAGGGGCTGGAATGATCCATGTAGTAATGGGTCAGAGTTGGAGTCATCAGTATTATGCATGTTTAGTTATATCTATATAGATGTAGATAAATGTGGAATTATTAAAAGATGTGTGTATATAAATGGGTTAGGATACACAGATTTCCTGGCTAGTCAGCAGAGAGAGCTGGAAACAAGACCATGCAGTAGCAATGAGTACACCTAGCACCAAGATTTTGGGTTCTAATACCATTCTCTAAAAAGAGGAACTAGGGCTCTTTGGAGAAACGGCTTATTCTGGGAGTGGGGCAGAAGGCCTAAAAGATGAGCCCAGAGCATTTGGCAATACCAAAGGAAGTGCTTTAAAAAACAAAAATTCTACGTGATGGAGGTATGTCGAAGGAATATAGGAAGCAACTGAAAGAGCCCCCAGAGGCCAAAGGTAGAACCATTTGAGCAATGAAATAAAGTAATACTGGATTATAAACCCAAGTATATAAGATAAGTGTCTTTGAATCTGATATAAATGATTGTAAATAAGTAAATGAGAGGAGACAAATCTCCCATGCAAAAAAGTCCTCATAATTTATATAGTTATTCCCCCCAAAGGTGGTAAATTATAATTCCTCATTCCTTAAGTGTGGGATACAGATAAGGGCTTCTTTCCAAGGGGTACAGTATGGAAGATAGGGAAAAGAAAGTGACTTTGCAATAGAGAAACCTGGCAAACACTTCCTCCCAAGTTCTTACTGTCAACATCAACAGTGGTAGATCATGTTGATGGTAGGTACGCTTGATATGATATGGTGAGAATGGCACTTTACCTCTATGGTCTTCATCCCCAGAAACCCATAACCCCAGTTTAATCATGAGACAAATGTCAGACAAGTCCCAGTTGAGGGAGATTTTGCAAAATACCTGAGCAGTACTCCTCAAAACTGTTAAGGTCATAAAAATAAGGCAAGTCCAAGAAACTGACACAGCCAAGAGGAACCCATGGCAATATGATAAATGTACATATCAGAGTATCCTGAATGAGATTGGATTCTAAGTAAAACTAAGGAAATCTAAATAAAGTATGGATTTGGGTTAATAGTAATATATCTATATTGGTTCATTAATTGTAACAAATGTTAATAATAGGGGAAACTAGGTGTAGGGTATATGGAAACTCTATGCTACCTTGATGTTTCTGTAGCTTTACTTCCAATCTAAAATTTAAAATTTACTTAAAAATAAATAAAATGATATATTCTTCTGAGCCACCTGTCCAGTTTTGTTATCTGAACTGGAATGAAACTCAAAACTGTCTTCCCTTTCCGATTCATCAGTTAAAGATGGGAAATACTGTAGTTTGCTTTTTCTTGGGTAGCTGTGGCCATCCATCTATCCATTGATCCAGCCATCCGTCTGTCCATTCGTCTGTCCATCCATCCATCCATCCATCTGTCCATCCATCCGAAATTCTTATTGAGACTTGCGTGTTTGTCATGCTCTGGGGATACAGAGTTCACAGAAAGATACAGCACCTGCCCTCAAATGTGCTTAAAATACAATCAAGAAAGGGGGACAAACACATGATGTGTAGGCCATTGTTACTCTCAGTGTGTAGGGTCTTGTTGCTCTCACGATAGGTGTTCTGCTCTGCTCCTCCCAAATATGTTAGGAGGAGAGTCTCCTCCCTTATCCTAACTCGGAACTCTTTCAAAGGAGTTGGGCTCTTTTGGTTAACTTTAAATTGTGTGATTTTTAAGTGACCATACCTTTTTTTTTAGGTCTCCAAATTTGGCCTTGGACTTGTAATAATCTTCTCTTCTAGGGTGCTTGAAAGAATTTAGATGATATCTGGTGTTGTACCCAAGAGCTTTCTAATGATTCAGAAGACAATGTCACACCTTAGGAAAGCACATCGTGGTCTCATTGTGAATTCTTTGGGGGTGTTCCCCTCACCTCTTATATCTGTTTGGAGGCTTTAATCTCTTCCCCTTGATTGTCTTATTTCTGGTGTTATAGGGAGCAGGACTTGGTTCTGTGATCCTGTTCATTCATTCATTAATCAGTTTAGCACATGCCTACTTCAGGGCCTTCATACTTGCCATTTCCCTGCTTATGGATGTTCTTTTCACAGATTCCTTTCATTCAGTCTCTATTTGAATTTTACTCTTGAGAGATGCCTTTATGATAACTCTGTTTAACTATAGCTACCTCTCCCCAACTCTGCCACTCTCTAACTCATTACATTGCTTTTTTTATGACTTATCTCCACCTGACATTTATTATATATTTATTTGCTTATTGTCTTTTTATTCTAGAAAATCTTCTTACAAGGGTGGGAACTTTATTATTTTGTTTAGTTCTAGGACATAGTGAGCACTCAGTGAATATTTGGTAGATGAATGCATGCATGACAATGTCTCCAATTCTTCCAGTGGGCCTACAGACTCCCCACCTCAAAAGGCTTCTGATGACCTGCTTTCATAAATCAGAATTTCTGTCTTGTTTTTATTGAAATCCTACTTCAGTCCTTGATCCATTTATATTTGTAAATGCTTGAGAGTTTTCAGAGTGCTTTCACATAGATTGTCACTTTTAATTCTTTGTAGGAATTAAAGCTATGAAGCAACTAAGAGTTTTCAGATGTATTTTACAGACATGAAAGTTTGGGAGGTGAAACCAGATCTTCTGACTGCTAGCTCATCAAGTGATGACCCAGGATTTATGTTTCATCTCTACCTGTACCTAGAATGTATGCTTTTGAGGGCAAGGGCTTGAATTATTTGTTGTTTTATTTTCCACTATGTCTTATATACAGTGTATTTACTTAAAGGTGTGTTGATTTGAACCTTTCCATCCACAGAATAGTTGTGGAAGTATCTTTTCCATTTGAAACGAAAGGGGAACATTTTAGCCCCTTCTTTCCCCCACTTCTATTGACCACTTCTTTGATGGACCTTGGGAGAATCTCAGAGATGAGCCTTACCTATGGTCCCACAGAATCAGGGGGCTGGGGCTGTGTATTTCACAAGAATCACTTAGGAACCTTGTTTATATTCAAATTCTGTTTCAGTCAATCTAGTACAGGACCCTTAAGTCTGCATTTTTAGCAGGCACCCTGGTGGTGCCCATGCTGCTGGTCTGTGGTCCGCATACTGAGCATGTCAGGGGTTGGTAACCACATGAAAGATGGAATCTCTGTTTGGCTACCTGACTTTGTCACCCCGGGCAAGTTTCTTGGAGACACTATAGCCTACTGGTTAAGCTGTATTTCTCTGGTTAGAATTCTACCCCCCTCACTTACAACTGTGACCCCAAGCAGGTTATTTAACCTTTCTGTATCTCAGTTTCATCTTTTAAAATGGGGATATTAGTACTTACCTTATACAGTTGCTGTGAGGAATGACTGAGTTGTTACTTGTAAAGCACCTAGAATAGAGCATAGCACACAGTGAATCTTAACTCTTACTATCATTTCTTTGTCTCCTTGTGCTATTCTGTTAAACTGCATCAGTAGGTTTAAGATCCATGTGAGAGACAAAGTTGTTTGAAGTATTTGTAGGTTATGAAATAGCATGATGTCTTTTGTGAAACTCCTAATCTTGCTGGAAGACACAGTGCTTTCATTAATGAACAGTGCAGTACAAATCATTCTTCTGGTGCTGTCACAGCTGTACCGTGTAGTTCCCATCAAGCACAAGAAAATGAGGGGACAACGAGTGGGCACTCCAGTTTTGTAGTCAAGTGTCGTGATATATGATACTAAGCATGGGGCATAACGTTGTATGATTCATCTCAGTTATGCATTAAATAAACAAACTTGATTTTCATTGATGATATGGAAATATGGAGCCAGGGACCCCAAGAATCAGTGAGAACCCAATTGGTTCTTCATTTAATTCATCTTATAGTAATGGGGTGGGGGGAAGTATGGACAGAATTATTTCAAAGAGAGATTTTGTTTTTCCTTTTTCAAATAACTAATGAAAAATAAAGTTGTGTTCCTCAGGAAAAAAATTGACATGGCTCATTTCTTTCACTGACTAAAAAGTGTAAGAAGTAAGTTTTTAATTAACACAGAGGTTTTTTTTTTTTCCCTTTTGTTTTAGGATCAGATTTTATTAAGACCTCTACTGGAAAAGAAACAGTAAATGCCACTTTCCCGGTAGCTATAGTAATGCTACGGGCCATTAGAGATTTCTTCTGGAAAACTGGAAACAAGGTATATTATTGCCAGCAAATCTTTCTTCAGAGTAAAGATAATGTTATTTATAATACTAGTTACAGCCACAAAAACTGTCTTTATATGCAGAAGGTGTGAATGAGTTACCTTTATGAAGATAAATGTTTAATTTACCTTTCATTACAAAAGAACACATTCATGGAGAAAAATGTGCGATTAACAGAAAGTGAGTGTGAGTGTGGGAGTAGGTATGTGTGATCAAGATGTAAACTCACTTTATGTCCTTTTATTAACTGAAGACAATTTTATCACTGACAAGAGATTCCTAAATGGGTTCTTTAACGAACTAATTCTGCTACAACACAGAGGCTTTCTGGTAAGGCGTTGGCCAGCGAAAACAGGTTAATGCAGAAATTAAACTTCCTTGAGGAATGGAAAGAATTGCAGAGTAACATTTATTGAATGATAAGCTGTGGTGGTGATATGAAAAGTATGCAATATAATGGGAAATAATCTTTTCCTGTCATTATTGAAGGACACACATAAATTGGTTTTTCTGTTGGGAAACCCCCGGTCCAGAAAAACTTATTACTTTTAATAATATGAGGTGAAGAGAAAATTCTCGAGGAGATGAACTTATTAAACAAAATAATGAAATGCTGTGAAACAGCAGGGAAAAGGTAGCTAGACGTTATATAGCTCTTGAATTAAATATCCATTTTTGCGTTTTATGGCAGTTGGATGTGCTCTTTGGAAGACTGTTAAGCTGAGGAGGGTATGTGCTAGCTTTTGTCAGCTTTTCGAAAAATAATACATATTTTTTGAAACATATGAAGTTAAAAAGAAAAATGTGTATGAGGTTTTTTAAAATGAGTTTGGATTTTCCTTTTCACTTCAAGTTGCTTGTTTAGCTGCAAATTATCTCAAAAGATTTTTTTTTTTTTTTTTTTTTTACATCATTGGAGAGAAAGGTAGTTTGTTTGGTTTTGGTTTTTTTGTTTGTTTGTTTAATGAGGCTGTCCCTTCCTCAGAAGGCATCTTTTAAAATCAACCTCTGGATTTCTGCCAAATGGAAACCCAGAAAAGGCTTTTAATCCTTTGCCAACTAGATGTGATGACTTTATATATGTGACTGTACCTTCGGTTCATTTTAGGAACTGGAGACCATTTTTAGAATGTACTGGGTTTGAGAGGAAATGAACTTCCAGAATTTTCTCCTTCAGAATAAGTTCCTATCTTAAAAAAAGTACAAATAGGAAAGATAGCTGCTCTGACCTTACATATGACAGTTGACTCCATTTGAGTAACCTCTTTGTTGGTAGCCTTTGTGCACTGATCCAAATAAAAACATGTTTAGCGGTCAAAAAAGAGAACTCTATCTTTGGTCCCATCAGCTGAGACCACCACCATTTGTAGATCAGTGGTTCTTATTTTCTGCCAAAGTACAATAAAATAAATGTGAAGCTTTTTATGCTTCTAGATGCCTGGGCCCTCATCCCTAGCACTTCTGGATGAGAGGTAATCCTCAGGCATCTATATGTTTTGTAAGCTCTGTAGTCAGGATTAAAACTCACCATTGGAGACCCAATCCTGCTGTGTTCTCAACAAACATTTATTGAGAAGTTAACTGTGTGCCATGTTAACCTATGTTAACAGGGATACAAAATGAACAAGTCCCTTCCCAGGAGAGCTCGTAGACAACAAGCAAAGAATTTCAATAAAAGTTTTAAGTGCTCAATATTCTAGGCCAGAGTACAGTAAGAAGGGACTTTTTGCTGTCTTTCGGTACTTCTTTTTAATTGTAATGACCCTTTCCTCAGATAATAAACAAAGGTCATCCCAATTTTATTACAAAACAGACAGATGCAAGTCAAATCATATTCATTTTAATTATGTGTGATTTCACACAGTGAGGACCTGTGTATGTGTCTGCAAATCAGGTGCATCCTTCCAGGTTGTTGACAAGTTGCCTGGGCAGGCCTTAGACTGTAAACTTTCTACATCATTGATTTAAGGGGTGTTTTAAAATGTGACGGGCCATCTTCCAGACCATGCTTAGTGTCACTCTGAGCAGCAGAGGTTTAATATTTCATAACTGATTTCATTGCAGATTTATGTTTTCCATATTCTCTCCCTTAAAGGAAAAAAAAAAGGATAAACTTATGCTAGAACCTCTTTTTAGAAACGTTGCCAAACAGACTTGCTGACACAACTGAACTGTATAGAAAAATCTATATGCAGCACAGCCTAATTGACAGAAATGTGCTTATGATTAACATGTATGCTAATATCAGCTAATTGATTTTGGGGGCCTCTTCTCAATAAATAATCTCATCCTGTTTATCTCCCCCACTCACCCCACGTCCCCGCAGTCTTTCAGAGCCACTTGGGCTCCTGGGTAATAGGCACATAGGGTTAGGATCAGTGTACAGCGGCTGCATAGCCACGTGGCAGTGAGTGACTGAGGCGGGGATACCAGTCAGGAGACCCGCCGGTATTTGTGAGGACTAATGAGGGTCTAAATTAAAGCAGCAGAAGTGAGAGTACGGAGGAAGTGTGTGGGGGGGGTGGGCGGAGATACAGAAGTTGAGGAGGGAAGATGGGTAGGACTTGACTGTTGATTGGGTGTGGTGTGGTGGGGAAGATGGTGGAGTCCAGGTTAACCCTGAGGTTTCTAGTTTGGATTAATTATGGGACCATTCACTTATCGTCTCCCTTCTCTAGCATTCTGTTAGCCATACACCCCGTGTTGGGGCTACCCATCGAGATAGCGGCTCTTAGTGTTCAAATGCCTGAGCTTTAGTAGTGGGGCTATGCAGTGTTTTCTCGATTGCTCCTGTCGGTAGAGTCTCTCCTCTACTGGATTCAAGTTCTTGAGACAGGTAAATCAGATAAGCAGGTTTTACTGTTTATAGAACACATTTATCCATTTCTAATGGACTCAGGGACATCATTTGTAAACATCAGATATTGGCTGAGTTGTGCTGTTTTATGCTCACCTTCAAAGACTACTGAACTGTGAAGAGTTCCTACACTGTCTTTTTGTACTGTGCTTATTTAACCAGTCTGGCTGTTCATAGAACTCTTTCCACTTACAACTTAGAAAAAAGTCCCTACACTTAAGTTGATGAAAATAACTGTCAACACTGCTTTCTGATTGCTGCCAGTTTGGTTAGTGTGACCTCCCTGATTCTCTTCTCTTACTTTGAATACATGTATGTGTCTTGCACCTCAGGATGAAGGGCTGAGAGGCGACTAGACAGACTTACTTATAGAAATGTAGAATGAATGGGCTTTTGTGATCTCTGTTTTTCTTAGTTTTTGACACCTCTCTTGTTTATCCCCAGTTCACAGCTATAGTCTAGATGGTTGAGGTTTATGACTTCCCAATAAGTGCAATGTTAATGAGGGTTATTAACGCTCATTAGTGTCTCCTCAGAAACAGTGACATCCTTCCCATTAATCTTGGAAAAGTCATTTTGTAGCATGAATGTGCGCGAGTCAATGATCTAAGCTCTTTTTCTGGGTGAAGTGAAATAGACTTTAAAAAAAGAGAGAAAGAGAATCGAGACCCTGTACTAACACAGTACCATTTTTTGTTGTTAAAGATTTTATTTAGTTTTGAGAGAGAGCGAGGGTGTGCATGAGCAGGGGGAGGAGCAGGGGGAGAGAATCTCCCGCAGACTCTGTGCTGAGTGTGGAGCCTGACGAGGGTATGGATCCCAGAACTCTGAGATCATGACCTGAGCTGAAACCAAGAGTCAGAAGCTCAACCACCTGAGCCACCCAGGCTCCACCATGCAGGACCGGTTTTTAAAGCACTCCGGTAACATTAGACCTTGCTCTCTTTCCCACCTTTCCTTCTAGGTAGGCTTTAAACCAGCAGGAGGCATCCGCAGTGCCAAGGATTCCCTTGCTTGGCTCTCTCTCGTGAAGGAAGAGCTGGGAGATGAATGGCTGACACCAGAACTGTTTCGGATAGGTGCCAGTACTCTGCTTTCGGACATCGAGAGGCAGGTGTGTAATAATCCATTGTCCTTGGGACAAATTGACAAGTGTGTTTTTGAGAAAGAAACGAAAAATCCCTTATTGGGCTATGAGAGCTAGAGAAAAAAACTCATCTGATTTACCTCATCACACCCAAACTTCTGCTTTCGTCCAAGCAAACCTTCACCTGAAGTGGGTTGAATGGAGAGTCTGCAGAAATGCATAATAATATGGGGCTTTATAAGGAAACATTAATTATAATTATTAATTATTATTTAGTAGTATAATTATTAATTGATATATATGATACAAGGTAATTATTAACTAAACTCTGGTTTTCCTCACAGATTTACCATCACGTTACCGGAAGATATGCAGCCTATCATGATCTTCCGATGTCTTAAATCAGCGACCAGTTCCAGAAAAGTGCTGTATAGCAACATGTAAAATGTGTTTTTCTACGTAATTGCTAAAATTGTTTAATTAAAACATGAGGGAATGAATGGATAACTGACTTTTTTTTCCCCCCTTAAAACTTTCACTGAATTTAATTCAAAGAATAAAAGAAAAAAACAACTAATCCATACATGGTATTCTTTTCAGGTGCCTCTGAATGGTCCTAATTACTTGAAGATCTGTATTGTTAATTTTGTGAAGATTTTCTCTTAAGAATTCTGAGTAAAATATTAATGATAGCTTTGACAGCATTCAATTCTAAGGGGGAAAAAAACATTAAACTGCCCAAGAAACGTGCCTTTAGCGAGAGCAAACGTAGCATCCCTGAGCTGCTGGCCATACTCTGATGACTTCGGGAGTCACTGACTTGGCACTAATTTCCTGCCGTGAAAATCTGTCTTTAATTTTTGCAACAGATATGCTCTCTTATTAATTATTTTGCTAATGAAACTCCTGTCATTGTTACATGATACTGTGGCTATTGCATTTTTTAAATAAAAAAATCTCTGTAGTTTATTTTTTTGGAAAAAAAATCACTTTAAATTGTAACAACACCAACTGAAAGATAATCCATTAAACACAGAAAGAGGTTTTATCAATGACTTTCTGAGTCTGTCCAGTAGAGTCTGCATATTTATATCATAAAGCACCTCAGTAACACTATTAATGAATACAACTTACATATATATATCCTGAAACTTTTAAGATTTTCTGGCATAGTGAATAGGGGGAAAAACAGCCAACACTAATGTAGCACTTAATACATGGTAAGCCCTTTACATAGATCAGTGTATTTAATATTTATTTAATCCCTGTAATAGTACTGATATTATTGTCCTTTTATACAGACAAGGGACTGAGGCACAGAGAGCAGAAGGAACTTGTCAAAGATCACAGAGCTCACAACCGGCAGAGTCAAGAATCAAGCCCAGGCCCAGTGTGGCTCCCGAATATGTGCAGTCACCCGGGGGCTGCACCACTGTCCCTCAGCACACACAGGCTCATCATCAGAGCTCACTGTCCGCTCTGGGGAACGGTCATCTGCTTTGTGGGCTACTCATTGCTTGGCTCCCTGTCCCTCCCAGTGTTCCTGTCTGCCAGTTTGGCTTGCTAGCAACTCTCCCACATGATAGAACCTACGTTTTCATTTCTTCCTTCCTTCCTTCCTTCCTTCCTTCCTT